CTTTTCCTCTGGAGAAACAAGTAAATACTTTATGAATTATGAAAAGTTCCTAAAGTGTGACAATCAGCACGAAAGGAAAAAGAAATTCAAAATTGATAGAACTGAGCAACTGGAAATTTTCATAATAGCAGCCAACTTGAAACTACCCATCGTTTCATAACCAATCGAATTAAAGTTGGATACTTCTTGTGTAGTCATATTCTATTGTTGGAATCACTGCCTAAAATTCATGCCACTTATTTTTTCGTAACATCAAATAAAATTATAAACCATGAGAAAGTTAAAATCTATTTTTTAATACCGACCGTTTTTTTTTTTCGTTTTTGCTGATAAATAGTCTTTCCAATTAATTAATTTGATACAAGCTTCTGATTAGTTTATTTAGAGCAAGACTGATTAATTAGACCCATGTATATTCAAAGATCAACTCATCTATTAACAAATTTAAAATAACCTGAACAAATTTGAGGAATATAAGGAGATATTGATCAACATTCAATTCTTTTCCCGAGTCAGCAAGCTGCTCAATAAGACGCTTCATTACTTCTGCGTGTCTACAAGGATGGATGGAAGCCATAGCAGTGCGAAAATATGGATGAGATTCCATTGTAATAGTCTTATTAATATGGTCCTTAAATCATGGAAATTTATTTGGAAAATGCCGAAAACTGTTAAGGTAGCTAATAGTTAATATCTGTGAAACGTATTAAAGGATATATATACTGTTTACTATTTTACATCTAAAAATCTAAGAAACAAGTAAACCTGCGAAAAATCTGCGCTCATTTTATCCACAGTAAGTGGTTTATTGTCTTCGTCATATCCGCACAACCAAAGACGAGGTACCTGAGCAATTAATAAAGAAACGTAATTATAAACCGTCACTAATGTTGAAATTGCTCAATGAAAATGGCAGAAATCGGATGTTTAAATCCAGTTATATAAATTATTGCATGATGATGATCAATAAGAAATTTATTATGGGCAAAAAAAAAAAATGGAATATAATGAAATAACCTATAATCAAAATAAGGTTTTCTTGAAAACTCGTTTCTTACCATCTACTACAACATTAAAATCCAAGTTACCTGATAATATTTGTCGTAAGTTATGTGAAGATCATAAGTACGTGTATGCAAGACGTTGTCGGTGTCACCTTCGGTCTGATTCCTCTCTTCTTCAACAAATCTTGAATATCTTTCCTAAGTCTTCTGACAAATATATTTAGAGAAAAGTTGAAAACCTTGATTACTAGAAAAATTTAGAATAGAAGAAAAAAAATTTGGATTATATCACCTTGGTGTTATTTCAGAAAATCATTTGAAAAACTACCTATAAGGATCGTTTTCCTCGAGACCACCCTCAGCAACAAACGCATCCATGTCCATTGGTGGCCCACCATCATCCTCTGGTTCGTCCGATTGTTTTGACTAAAAGTAACACTAATATTTTCAAACAATTTAAAACGCTACCTATATACATTAAATAAAAATCCGAACCTCAGAAGATCCCATCTGAGGTATTTCGAACATCGATGCAGGTTTCTGACTAGCATCTAATATATAATGATGCGTATCAACCCATCCTTCATCATCCTCGACGTTGGTGAAATCACCCTCATCATTCCACTCTTTACTTTTTAGTATCTATAAGATTTAAATTTAAACAAGCTCTAAATAATCATAATATTCCTGAAAATTGGGATAAAATTAACCCATGAACAAAAAGCAAACATTAAAAACACTATTTAACAGCAGACTAAGACTAAAATTTAACAGCACACTAGAAAACTCAATTACATATAAGGAAATGAAACCTTAAAAAAATCAACCTTAAAAAAATCTACTATTATTTAGCACTAAAGTTGCTAATGGATATACGAAGAGAACTAACAGATGTTGTTCCTTTCAATTCAAATAAAACACCTTTTCTTGTGATGAGTCATATTCCATATCCACACATCGACTAAAACACGGCACATTACGTGTGATCAAAAATTGCTTGTTTATAGGTAGATATGGTTTGGCTCTGAAATATTAATATATATGTAAAAAACTTTATATGATAAAAGTACGGCGAAATATATCATGCCATTTGTTCAGAAATTTTCATGTAACTAAAAGCTTCCTTTTCAGCAACCAGAAAAACAATGAAAATATCATGCATTTTAGTAATACAACAAAAAAGAGGTGTAAAAAAGTGATTAATTTTGATTTTTATATGAAACTGCTAGATTTTCGACTCAGAGACGCATTTAAAAAAACAAGAGTAAAATTTACTTTAAAGGATCTAATTGACCCCATGACCAAGTTGGACAATGATGTATAAGGTAGTCGCCGGCAATAACGAATTCTTCAGGATTTAATACGCCTGTTTCTTTGAATTTTGATTCCCGAAGCACTGGCGTTAAATACTGACCCACATCGAGGGCTATACTTTTTACCGAATTTACGATACTTTCCATCGTTGATTTCCACAATTAAAAAATTAGTAAAAAACTGAAAAATAACATTAAGATAAATTTTTCTCTATAAATGTCGAACAATTATTCAAAGAAAACATGCAAATTAGTTAAAAGACGTCGGTAATGATACTACATCCTTAGGTTACGCATATCTGTCTAACAGAAGATAAGTTTCTTATTTAAATACTTCAAATAATACAAAATTGTAATCACGCTATGTTATTATTACTGAGAATGAAAAAACTGATTACAGTGAAAGAAAAGCTAACGAAGACATGACCGCTGACTATTTACAATGAGCAGCCAACTTCTTTTTTTCCCTCCTTAATTAGCTAATGAAATTTCTGCCTTTCAAAAAATCCAATCAGTCTTTCTCCCTCTTCTTTGATTATCTTTTTACATTGCAGACAGTTAATTGAATATCAGTTGTCCAGAATGTCAATCAATAGGATGTTCGACAACCACCTCATAGATTATCTTACAGAAGTGTAAATACAAAGCACATCTTATGTAACTGAAGAAAACAGAAATACGGAACGAAACAATAAGTGCTTCTCTAATAATTACCCTTCTCCACTGAAAAACTTATTCCAATTGCAAAATGAGGCACAGTTAACCTGCACTTATTTCTATCCTCCTGTTTCATTCTTCATAAAGCTTTCATAGTTTTCTGATCAAATTTTGCATCTCTTCAGATGTATTACCACTTCTCCTCCTCAGTTAATATATATTGCGATCATACTATTGTTTGGAATTGTCTGAAAATTTCTCCTCAAATTATCCCATCACATCTATATCTCAAAATCACTCCGAGAATACCTAAACACCTAGATGACCCTCATTTCTGACCTTAATCCATTATGAACTCTAACCTTACACAAACTTTCGTCGCATTTGTATCAAATGATACGAACAGTGAAATGAAATGCGAAAAATAATTTAAGTGGAACGAGTAGCTTAGATTTAAATTTAAATTCTTTTGTTTTATCTTATATATTATTAATGTGTGTCTTTTTCGTTTTGCCATGATGTAATAATAAATGATATCGATGGATTGTATTTCATTAGGTTCCTCAATGATACGTAAATAAGATAGAAAGGAGAAGTAGGCAAGAGGGACTGTTTGATGTTTGGTGGATACAGTAGTACATAGTAAGGCTATCTCTGAATAGAGGTAAAAATATTGGTGGAATAGATAGAAAATAAAAGATAGATCTTTCCGAGATATTTCCGATTAATATCCTTAATAAACTGATTTTCGTGATTCTATTCCAGTTGATTTTGTAATCAAAATATCTTCCGTATTAGATATAAAATATATTAAGTGTAAGGAAAAGGAAGTTATATAAGAATTTGTAAAGATTGCACCAAATTATTTGAAATAGCGATATAATTGAGTGTCTTATCCACTGTGTTATTTTCATTTGCTCTTTATATTTAAACTGCTTATTCAGTTATGAAATGAAATTATGCAAAATAGGTGTTAAGGAGTTTGTTTCCAAATCTGATTCGCTCTGTTTGTTTTTCAGGTATATCACACTAAAATATTTGTAATAATTACACTTTCGTGCAGCATATATTTTTTAAGTGCAATATTTTTGAATTTCAATTCCCAAACAATTTCTACTGTGACAGAAGGGTCAGCGGATGAATTAATTTTAAAAATGAACTCTGAATTTGCCTCAGTTGTGAAGTAGTAAAATATTGATGCCATTGAAGGACAATTTCGGATGTACTATTTTTTATCTAGGATATTCACTTCATTTCATAACTAAGAAATTTGTAATTCTCCTTTTTTGATGGTAGATCTTATTAGTTGTGCAATTTAAGCCGGAAATTATTCAGATTTTGAAAGTGAATTTTATTTAAAACAAAATGATATTAAAGTGCCAAATGAATTCAACAAAACTGTCTCCTTGGAACCTGAAAAATGCATCAACGTTCATTCTTTATAAAATTTTTAAGTGAAATATCCATAAATACTAAAACAATTTTAGAAAAATGACTACAAACATAGGTGCTATTTTGAAAGGTTGATATCTAATAAATTACATTGTATTATATACATAATGATCACACGTAGTAACGAAATAACAGAACAAAGTATATTATGTAATAAAATCAATCTTTCTTCTCTATGCTATGTAAAACCACACCAATGTTTTCTTTTATCAAATTTTTGAATCAGAAATTAAAACGCAAAAGATTTGAAATTTTAAAAATCTCTTAAGAATTTCCTTATTATTTTCACTGCTATTTTAAAAGTCCACCTTTAAAGTCAGATTTTGAACAGACTTTGTTTTATTCTATTCCGTATTTTGATACGCATAGTTTTAGTAGATGGTATGAACAGACTTTCACAAGATAATTACATTAGAATATTTGTAAAAGAAGAAAGAAGGACTGAGCAAGTTACTGAATTCATGTTGATATCTTGATTTGCTTAACATAAAATATGCAAAATGTGCCATGAATTTCATCATTATTCTGAGAAAAAATTTTTTTTTATAAATATGATAGAAAAAAATTATGCAACTTAAGCAAATGTGTCGGGATTGGAATGTTCTGGTACGAGTATTTCATCTTCCTTTTCTTCATCGTCGGAATTTAATCCCTCCTTTTCTGCTATCTTCCTCAGTGGAACAGTTTCGGGAATTGGTGGTAAATCCAAAAAGTCTGCAGACAGTGACTCAAAATTTGCGCTACTTGGGCGCTCACCAAGTAATGCTGAAAGTTTAATCAGTTATTTGTTTTTATATTTGACGTTCTTTTTATCAAGATTTTTACATTTTAATATAAGTGAAAATGAAGTACTTGGAATTACAACTCAGTGTTTTCTCCAAGCAAATCTGAATAAGTTCTGATCATATAAGTACTTCTAGAGACACCGTGATCCACAGAGTTAAATTATACTAAAAAGTTAAGTGAAAAGAGATGGAAGAATGAAGGTTGGCTTGTTGATTATCTTTTCAGGGAATGTATTATAATGAACCTACAGAGTGATCTTTTGTTCCGTATGATAGAATCATTAAATCCTCGTGACAGCCAGGGGGTTGTTTTTATCGTCCGAAGCGATCTTAAAGGGCGATGCTCGAACTTTGCACTCATAATGGGATTGGAGAATAAATCCTGATTTGTGAGGAGACTGTGTTGGAAAAGTTCTTCTGGCGGTAAAGCATATGGTGAACGTCCGTCAAGGCTTCTGGTGGAAGAGAAGCACTTGCTTAAAGCTACTGACTGTAAAAAAAATGAATTTTTCTTTTTGAATTTCACATCTAAATTTCATTTTTTTAGATTTGAAGAAATTCGAAAATTATTGACCTCCTCATCTTCACTAGCATCTTCGATTGTAGCAGGTAATGATGGTGTTTTGTATTGTAGCTTTACTTTATGCTTCTTATCTTGATCCAGTGACAATTCTGGATATATTTCATCAATAATGCGTTGCCGTTGTTGTTGTGTTACGGCACGTCTACTGATATTTTCCGGTAAAGCATTATGCTCTATTGTTTCTTTAAAGCTGGTACGGCGAGCCGTCAGTGCTGTCATTTCGGAAATGTTTTGATATATCAAACTGCTGCAACAGTGAATTATTTTATTTTTAACGCGACAAATGTGACATATTACGCAAAACGATGTAAGTTTTGTAAATTTACATATGATTTTATAGCAACATGCCACTTACTGATAGATAATTCACTTTCCAATTAACCATTCCAAAATTAGTATTATAGAACAAATAAACAATATGAAATTAAGCAATAAAAGGAACAGTTTTTATTGGAATTACTCGATGATTTACTAATGACTTTCTAGCGCTTCTATGGAAACAGCTCATCAAATAACACAAAAGGGAAGAATAAGCAGCAACCGTGAACCATTTTATACTTCCATACTTTCCTTTCTCTTTCATTTACTTTCTAAAACGCGCATAAAAATTTGTTGAGAACTTATATGATTCAGAGAAATATCGCATGTAGTGTGTAAATTGCTAATAACTTTTAGTTGAAAATGTCTCCACTAAACGAAAATGATTTTTACAGTGTGAATTTACTATCTTATGTTTATTACGTATTGCTTGTGCAATGAAATGGATTGACGAATTAATAAGCTGGCACAAATATTAATTAATTTGAAGGAGTGGATCAGGTTGTTAACTTTTATTTTATTTGCTATTGTTATGTGTCAATAGCGCATGGAAATAAATCTCTTTTTAAGAAGCGAAGGAATCAAATCTTTTCTTTACATATTAATGAAAGAAAAAAAGAATCGATTATTCTGCACCATAATTAGCAAATGACTGTATCATTTCGTTTCGTAAATGAAATATAGCAAATTTAAAATGAACTGTCGCAAACAAACTGCCATCATCTATGATCAGATATGATGCATTCTTTACATTATCATTTACTACCGTAAAACGAATTCTCTATCTTCTCGTATAATTCAGTTAGCTTAAATGAATAAGCGATTCCGTAAATGTTTTCAAAGATAGCATAATGGAAAATAAATTATTTACAAATGTAAAATAACAGATATTAAGGATTTTTAATTTTTAAGCAGTCCTCTTCAAGTAAAACAAAGAATTTGATATTATTACTTTTAAGAATAAATTTCTACAAATTCATTGATAAATTTGTGAATTTAAATTATTACAATCTTACAAAATGAACTATAATGGATATTGCTACAAATATTGCTTTGAAGAAATGTCTTAATGTTATTATATTTGAACACATTTATTATCTGTTGCAGTCGATGACATAAAAGTTAGATGTGAAATCGATTTCATTCAGTTCCTTAGCAAAGCTAAGTTATAGTTTATCGTTAGTGAATTATGCATATGAATACTACCTGTTAATTACCCATAAATTTTTATTCCAAGATGACAACCTCTGCTCTTTTCTTTCCTGTCAATGTTACATCACAGTGCAAATTGCTATTTAAAGTTTGTCCTGATTTCTATGCATAGAAAATTCGTTGCTTCAAAAGTGAACAATTTAAAATTTAAACAAAAAGCAAAACATTCAAAATATGTAAAAATTTACGCTCAGACATATGGTAATGGGAAGAATTGATTTTAAACTGAGTGAAAACACGTTGAAATACATTGGATAAAGACTTTTTACTTCAATACGAAGTGTGAAAGTGTTTCAAAGCTTGAAAAAAAATTTTTTTTTTTGAAAAAGAGTTTGAATGTAACATACCACAATCAAACTATAACTGCAAAAATTATTTTCAAAAGAAAAATTATTAGTGGTAATGTGGTGGATTTTTCGAAATTTGAAGCAAAACATAAGGAATGAAAGAGGACGCAAATAACTGGTTTTCGGTATGTATCCACCAAGGAAGTGAGCGCCATCAAAACACATAAGATTTTTCATTGATTGCTTATCAAAGTATTCGTAGAAAAGCCGAATAGTTTTTTTTTTTTTTTCTTTTTCTTTTCAAAAAAAATTTTTTTGAATTAAAATAAAAAGTGATGCAAAATTTGCACAAAATTCAACAAAGATTTCGAGAATTCCTTTTATTATCCATAACTTATTCATTCCTATTGTTTTGCAAATATTTTTCGAACATTTTTCAAATAATGGAAATTGAAAAAATTGTGTCAATTTGTAATTTAAAAAGTTTTCTCCCTAATCTTATTGAGACAACGTAATGTGAACGGTGTTAATTCTAAGAAATAAATCTCTTGAAAAGAGCAATTTTGTAAGCATAATTTTATTTAAAATGAATAATTAAAGATCGACGGGAGGAATTCAATTTTTAGAGCAAAGCAAAAAAGCAAAGAGAAAAAAATCAAACTTATCATTTTTATGAAATTATTTATTTGTGTGTATATGTGTGTGTGCTTGTTTGTTCTAGGTATCAACAAGTTAATGAATAATTCATTATGCGAGCTATTCCTGGAAAACATTTGTCTTATATTTTTCTTTTTTCAAACGAAATTCGAATCATTTATAAATTTTGAATTCGAAATGAAGTAACAGGCTAAAATTTAAAATCTTTAAAACAGTATTTTAAAGAAAATCACTACTTTTTACATATTTTCGGCGATTAAACCTCGAAATAAACGCCCTCTCATACAAACTTCCTACTTTATTTGACAAATCAAAAGCGATTATTGCTTATGTTTGTTGTAATTTTTTACATTAGCAACATCAGACGAAAAGTTCCTAATCAATGATAGATTACATTTAAGTCTAAAGGTATTTTGAATTTAGGATGGAAATTGTTTTTATTTAGCAGATAATGAGCACCAATATTTGGTGAGGATAAATGAAGATAAGCATGAATAGAAACGATAAAAAATGGTGACACACTTAAGCAAAGGAATCAATTTCATAGCTGAAAAAAGCGCTAAAATATGTATTCAGAAGTGTGGTGGATTTCGGATAAATGCGCTTTATTTTTGATTACAAATGAATAATTGAATATATTCCATAATTTGTTATGGAATAAACATATTAATATTGTGAAAGTTCAGAATGTTTTGTTCCCTGATATTATTGATTTTTGCATAAATTCGAGAGTTCTTTAGCTGATTAGATTGCTACCAATGTTTACTCTGATTTTAAAGAAGAAAAAGGAAAGAATTTGTATGTTGGTGATAAGACAATAGAAGACAAATTCATTGATAAGAAATTTACGAAGGAACATTGTTTTCTTAATGATTTGTTTACAAAGGAAAAAATTCTTTTTCTATTTCGGAGAAGTTAAGGAATTCAGCATAAAGATTTATCATCAAACTTATCAGTGCATAGATTTATCAATAGATGAATTAGACAATAAAAATAAAACATTGCTATTGATGAGGTAAATAATAAACATTTATAAGAATTAACATTGAAAAATGCTTGAAATTTGCTATCATCAACACCACCACAAAAATCGATAATTTTCCTTTTTGACCTGAATGGTGTGTAATTGCTTTAATTTAATTTAAGTTCAATTTAATTTACGACAACTAATAGCTTTAATGTGGTATGTGATTAGTATATGTAAATAAGTTCAATTTCCAGAACGTCGTAAACTAATAGTTTTTGAATATAGGATTTGAGAATAAACTGCAATCATTTGTTGAACAATGATAAGTATAAAATAAATGAAAATATTTGTTCGTTCTTTGAGTTAATGTAAAATTTAATAGAAATTAGTGAAATGAAGAAAAAAGCTATCGTATCGTTTAATTTAAATGGGAAAATTTCTATTCGCAGTCAGTCAATCAGTTCATTGAAAAGTTGATGCTAATTTTTCCTCTTCAATGGTAGCAGCGTAAAAAGTAAATTTGCAAGGTACTAAGCACATATAATAATGTGATGAGAGTTCGTTCTTACGATGATATTTCTGATTAAACAATCAGTTCTATCTATCACTGCTTGATAACTAATGACTAGTGATAAAACACCAGTGATAATCGTTAATAACTTATATTTACTGATATGCCCAATAAGTTAATCAAGGAGAGAAAGTCTTAGTTCATCTTTAAATAATATAAAGTTCCACAAAGAAGAATCAATCAATCAATCAATCAATCAATCAGTCAGTCAGCCATATCTGATAACTTCGCTTAATTCCTTATCGATAACTGGCATTTATTTCGTTATTCTCTGTTTCATTTCACTCAGAAAAAAGTGTAAATAATAAGGAAATATTACTATTATTAAGGCTTTACTTTGAAAGATTCCATAATTAATCAGAGTTAAATTATATTAATAAAGAAAATTTCTATCTGAAAATAGCGTAGAAATAAACGGAATGTATTTACTTCTTAGCTTCTCTATGAATGAGTCATCTGACATTTTCAATTTTTCCTTTCCTCTCTTTGATTATTCTTCCTGATATGGATTATTTCTGATTGATGTAAGATATAATCCAATGACATTGATTGAGTGACCAGTTAGCTTATAGAAATGGAAATGCTGAATAGCTTTAAATTAACTCATTGATATTTATTTTTTTGTATTAGCATATTGTCACAAGGATTTTTTATTAATCTGAGAAAGAGATCTGACAAGCATATCTTTCGTTAGATGACAGAAAATTTCGATGCATGAATAGGAAGGAGTTAATTTAAAATTGAAAGCTTTTAAATTTTTACATGCAACACATTTTGAAGCATTTTAAATTCTTAAAGCTATCGTATTGATACAGCTATTATTTATCAAGCGAAACTTCAGTGTAAAATAGTGTTTAATAAATATAATATTAAATAAAATTTTCTGATTTAAATCGCATAAAACAACATTTTAGAATTGAACATATTTCCTTTATGAATCGCAAATAATATATCTCTTAAATACGAAAACGATCTGAAAAAAATATGAAATATGTATAAGATGAATTTTAGACTGTCCGGAAAATCATCCATAATCCTAAAAATCTCAAACGACAAGTTTCAAATGATATAACGACAAACATTTGCAATAATTTTCCTGGAATTTTATAATTTAACATAACAATTAATTTCAATATCTCCTTGAAATTAAAAATAATTTCGGCACATTCATTTTTTCTAATTGCATGAGAATAATGAAATTAAAAGA